CATGTCTGTTAAATGAAGCTATATAATTTCATTAGGTAATGGTGGTTATGGATTCTCATTAAATACTCAGCCTTAATTCCACTCCTTTCTTGATAAAAATCTCTAGAGTTGGGACTTTTATTCCTACTGGGGACGCCTGCATTTAGGCCTTCTCACCGGTCCTGTCCGATTGCATCGGTCTCCTCATCACAGTTTGACTTCCGCCAAACTCATCTATTTACTCCCCCGTTTCCCTACCTGAACCATCTGCTCCAGCTAAATAAGTTTTTTTTCTGTTAATTCACTAAACCAACCCCATTTTAAGTCCCACGTCTACTCCTCCAAGCTGGCACACCTACCCCCTTTTCTTCACTCACTGAATTATTTGCAGGGAGGCCCAGCTCCAAATCCTGCATTTTCTGTTAACCTGATAGTATTAGCAAGCTGTGTGATTGTGAGAGGCAGTATGCTGGGGTGTCGCACTCTAGAGGTGCTTATGCAAGTTGCACGTGAATAGGTTTGTTGTTTGTTTTTTTCTTGTAAAGACTTATTGTTGACTTTTAAAGCATTAACTTGGTAGTTATAAAAATAAGCTTCCCCTTACCCTGCCCCCCAAAAGAGAGAGAGAGAGAAAGAGAGAGAGAGATTGGCATATGCTTGCCCTGGTATTTTCTTCTCTATGGCAATTAAAACTGTTCAGAAAATTCTTACAGTTAGTTCTCCCTTGATTTTTTTCCGTTTGAATAACACAGCTTATTTGGTTTCATCACTGCTGTGAGTTTTGATTGTACAGTAAGTCCTCACTTAATGTCATCATCTGTAACTTGAAGTGAAAGACACACAGCGGTGCCTCGGTTTTCAAATGTGACCTGTTCCGGGACCGTTCCAGCTCTGAAACGTCCGGAAACCGAGGGACCCACAGCCAACAGCCGGGCCTCAGGATTTCGCCCTCAGCGGGGGCCGCGGGGCATGTTCAACTCCAAGGCGTGTTGAAAACTGAGGCATTTCCTTCCGGGTTTACGGCGTTCATAACCCGAAATGTTCATTAAGGGAGACGTTGGAAAACCAAGGTGCCACTGTATAAGAAAACCAGTTTCACCATAGGCTAGTTGACATAAGCGTTAAGTCCCTACAAAGCGATGTTGAAGTTAAACCAAAGGGAGCCTTTGAGAGCATGCTGTGCTCCGTCCTCGCGTCTTCAAACTCTGCCTTCATGGTACCCACTTTGTGATTGAAAGGGGCCTGCAGTGGGCCTGGCGGTGGAGGGGGTCCAGTCATTCGATATAGTTATCCTGGGCCACTTTGATAAGCTAGAGCTCTGACCTTGACTTAACTAAATGTAGTTTTAGGCTTTCTAAGCACGGTCATGCACCCAAGAATGATGTTTCCAGAACGGATGGAGATCCTGTAAGATTGTAATGGAGCTGAAAAATCCCTATAGGCCAGTGATCTCGAACCCATGGTCATCTTGCAGCACAGTGCACTGCTCACATGCCTGTGGTGCTGCTGCTGGAAACAAGCAGACTGCGCCGCCCGTGGTGTGAAAGGGTAGTGCACAGCTATGTACAGGACCAGGACTGAGGATGCTCGTAAGTGACTGTTACTGGTTATGTATTTACTATACTTTTTATTGCTATTTTAGAGTATACTTTTTCTACTCATTAAAAAATTACTGTAAAACAGTATGACTTGTTAAGCTGGCAGCAGCCGCATACATTTCATGCTCACCACTACTATGGATTGAGACAGGCCAATAAACCAGGACAAGTGGAACAGGAAAACAGACAGATTGTTAAACGGCAGTTTGCAGCCACCTAGTAAATCCTGTCTTCCCTAAACCAAGGGCACTTCAGAGTAAATGGTTTGTGTTAGATGGACCAGGTACAGAAACTCATCAGGGCAGGAAGCATGGGGTACTTAGCAAGGGCCAAAACTGGGAAAACAAGAGCCTTGCCCCCAGGGTAACCTGTCCTCCCCCAGCATATCATTGGTCACGCGGTTTAGACCCCTGAATGTTTCCTCCCTAAAGATAACACCTAGGCCTCAGTTGTATTTCAGCTCCAGGCCCAGAAAAGCAGCAAAACCAGACACATGGCGCCTTGGCTGCCTCAGGACCAGCTACACTAACTAATGATCCCCTGCCCTGGGACCAACCAATCGGTGGAGACCAGGACCCTGAAAGAGCACCCCTGGAAAGCTGATGAGTATTCTACTGAGACCCTTCCCTGAGACCTCCCTTAAGATTCCTGCCTTCAAGAAAGAAATGAAAGCCTCAGCCAAAGGACCCAGTGTGCTCTCCCTTTGGGGAGCACACCCCCCCTCCCCCAAAGCCACCATTCCTCTCCTTTCTGCACAGGCCCGCATCTCCTAAACTCTAAGGGACCCCACGAGACTTGCAACCAGGGGAGAAATGGGCAGAAGCAGCTCGTTGCAGGCTAGTCCCCTGAACCTGACCCCAAGGCTTCCTTTTCTCTGACTTCTCAGAGAGCCGGGGCAGCCCAGCCTAGGCTCTCCTGTTGCTTCTTCTATGCTAAGCCCTTTCTTATTTTACTGTCCCCAGTTTTAATAAATGTTCCCTCATCGTCATCTGGACTCGTGTTGTGAAATTTTTCCTGCACAAAGTCAAGAACCCACATACTATCCCTGGCTGGCCCTAGGCAGAGCCGCCAAGGGCCAGGTCCCCTTTCCGGTAATACGGATTGCATCATTTTCTCTCGCACTTGATTTAATCTTGTGTTGTACAGTTACATGCTGCAGAAGCTTGTAGCCCAGGAACAATAGGCTGTAGCATGTAGCCTAGGCATTGTAGTAGGCGAGACCATCCAGGTTTGTGTGTGTAGATGCAATCTGTGATCGCCACATGATGACAGAATCCCCTCGCTGCATTTCTCAGTGTGTCCCTGTTAAGCAGTGCATTGCTGTTTATTTCTCTTAACCAACTGAGCAATGAAGCTTTTATTGACATTCTTTCCAGCTGCATATGAGGAAGCCATATAAATAAAATTTTTGAAAAAGGCATGGCTTCTGCTTTGAACTTATTGCCTAATTAACTCTTGAATAATAAAAAATGTTGTGATGTAGACTGAATGGGCCAAGAACATGTGGGTAGCATAGCATCGTGGCTGAGCCTCTGGAGCCAGTAAGGCCAGAATTTGGATCCTGAGCCCTTAACACAGTCACACTGTGAGTATCTTACTGTTCTTGAGCCTCAGGTTCTGCTTCTGTGAGATGAGCAGGTGAGGTTATGGGGAGGATCAGCTGAATTTCCCTTCCACTTATTCTCTTTGCAGGGGCTAGTAAAGAGCTCTGATGGCTGAGACTCCACTAGGGCAGTGGAGAAGAAAAGGCATTCTAGGTGTGGGGACCAATTTGCAAAAAAGATTCTGAGCAAGTCCAGAGAGCCTTGAAAGTATGTGCAGGGGGGGATTTGTGGAAGCAATGCATAAAAATGTGTCAGGACTAAAAGGGAGAGCATCTGTAATATGAGGAAGGAGGAAGAAGAATTTGTAATCGAGGCATGAGATAATGAGATTATTAGTGAGGTAGGTGGTCAGGGAGTGGTGGAGAAGGGTAGCTACAAGGGGCGTTTTCAAGGAACAATCATTAGGACTTGGGGTGTGGGGCTATGGGATAAAAGAAACAATGGGCTTGCCCGGCCAGGCGTGGCTCAGTGGTTGAGCATCGACCTAGGACTCAGGAGATGGAGGTTTGATTCCTGGTCAGGGCACATGCCCGGGTTACAGGCTGGATCCCCAGTCAGGGGCGTGCAGGAGGCAACTGATCAATGACTCTCATCATTGATATTTCCGTCTCTCTCTCTCCTTCTCCCTTCCTCTCTCTGAAATCAATAAAGATTTTTTTTTTTTTTCCAAAAGAAAAGAAACAGTGGGTTTAAGTGGGCAGTTACTATGTCATTCATTCATTCATTCATTCATTCATTCATTCATTCTTAAATTTTGAAATTGAAAAACTGCTGCTGCAAGGTTCTGTTGTAGGTATTGGAGATTCTATACTAAATAAAACAGAAGTCCCTGCTCTTTTGAAACTTACTTTCTAATGTTAACTGTTAAAAATTTAGCGGCAACAATTTGGCATCCTGAAATTTCATTTAGCTCATGATTCTTTTATTGGGTCTAAAAGTTAGGTGGGGAACGTTGACGGCAATACATCTAGTGTCTTCATGAAATCAATATACCGTGTTTTCATGTTTTAGGACCGTAAAGATAAGAGTGAAACAGTTAAACTGAAAATGTTGTATTTACAGATCAGAGAAAGTGGTAGCACTATACATTTAGTAATTTGCCTGATGGTTAATAAATTTCAGGGAATGTCATGAAATTTGAAACACCTTGGAAATTGTTGTTGTGAAAGGGTTTTTTGTAGGCTTTGGTTGGGATTCAAATTAGGTTCATTTAACAACTAGGAGGAAGTAATGAGAATAAACAAGAGTGTGGTACTTGGTGGCTTTCTTCCAGGTGGTTTTGTTGCCTTGTTTTTGAAGTAGTGCTATGATATTTTAGTTTTCAGTCTGGCTTTTCTTCACTCTTTAAGGTGAAAAAATTTTAGTACTAGATAATTCCTTGACCAAAAATGTGCTGACATAAGAAATAAAGAAGTTGAAAACTAAAATATAATTTCCAATGGCATTTTGAAAGTTTAAATTAGAAGAACATTATCTAATTGAAGTTATGATGCATTTAAGTATTCATTTCGTTTGGATTACTTCTTTTTGTTTAATGTACTTAGTTGTGTTTCATAGCTTTTGTTTTTGTAACCACAGTTAATTAGCTGTAGCAATAGAGTATAACGCTTACTCATAATTCTTAAGGAAAAAATAATGAGCTTTGGACCTAACAGTACTGATATAATTTTATGCAATAAAGGAATATTAAAAATATTCTAAAGGATGATTAAAAATCGGAACCTCTGTAAATGTATTACCTCTCAGTGTCTGAGTTTCTCAGTTTAAAAAAATCAGATATATTTTCTTAAGGATGATTTTTTTTTTTAATTTCCTTTAGGTAAAAGTGCAGTTTTAAAGTGTCTACTGGATATTCACAAAATTTTTCAGGAAAGCGACCCAGCTTACATCTTAAATGATCTCTACATCTCAGACTACTGTGTGTGGATTCAGAAAGCCAAGTAAGTTTTGAATTACTTATGAATTTTGTATGTTTCCATTTCCAGAATACGTACTTACCCCAGAGGAAGAAAATGAAATAATCTGGGAGATAAGTTTTAATGCAAGAGAAGCCCCATTTAGCTACCAAACACTTTAAGAAGTAACTGGATCAACATGGGTAGCATAGGGAATTTGCTTATGGAGGAGTTGCAGATGTTGAAAAGTTAATTTCACTAAATAAATAAATAAATAAATGTTAGAACAGGCAGTTATAAGTGTTTAGTGCTATACTATTGACTATGCAATATGAAATATCAAGACTAGGTATTGGAACCTGTTGATAGTTTACTTACAGGGTGAGTGTGCATGTGTGTGCGCACACACAAATCATTGCTAATCACAGAACTGTGCGTTCGTTGGCTAACCACTGGCTTACAGAACCCATTATTCAGAGTAAAAAAAATACAACCTTCAGAGCCGAATCACATGATTCTTGGTAACATACCTGAACACAAGTGGAAGATAAACTTTAAAAAAGAGTTTCCTATCACCTCACTCAAAGAACCACACTAAGTTTAAAAATGCAGTGAATTTTCCATTGTGAAGGGGTTCTATAGACCTGATTCCTGTCACACATGCCCAGGTATCCATTTCAGAATCAAGAAACTATTAATTGAGAACACACAGAGAGAGCTCTTGATTGGAATGATTCTTAGGTGTTGTAGAAAAGGTGGCACAATATCATTTGTGACTTAGAAGAAAAATGACTATGATATTTTTACTATTACTGTGATTGGTCAATTAATACTCTAGTATGGCTTTAATGCCTGTTTCAAGTGAGCCATTATATGGAATTTATTTTTTATTTCTGTTCGTGGGGAAGCAATGATATTGCAGAGTGAAATAAAACATCTTGAAGCTATTACCTGTTGTAAAGAAAATGCTTAGGGACTGCTCAAGATAACCCCTAATAATATTCAGCAGGTGGTGTCAGCATTTGTGTTGGAAATTTAGATTTTTCCAGATGGGAGATTGAATCTTCAACCCCTGAGGTCATGATGGCCAATCATCACTCCATTAAATCCTTCAGCTAATCGAGCTTATCAAGTGCTCTGCTGCCATTTCCCATTGATTTCATAATAAAATTAAATTGAAATAGTCTGTGTGGGTTTAGATCTTTCTCTTTTCTTTGAGGGTGAGGATTTTGTAAGCATGTAATGAACGTTGAAACTTGTGCTAGGATCCCATTTCTTTGAGTTGCACTTCTTAACGAGAAAGAAGGTCATATCTCATTAAGTAGAAGGGTGCCCTCAGGTTGATATGGGAAGTGTTAGACTTTCTCTTAAACATTTTTTCCCTTTGATTTTAAGTTGCAGGAAATGATTGAAATTCTTAGGTTCTAATAATTGTTATAATAGTAATTTTTTAAAAGGGATAATGTGAGATAGGAAAGGGGAAGTGAGATAGGAAAAAGTTTATCAGGAAGTCTTCAGATTATTTTGGAAAAATTTTTTTCAGCTTTACCAACTTGGACATAACTTTCCTTTCCCTGAATAGGCAGGTTGTTTTCACTTTGTGTGCTTTTATGTAGTTTTCACTCTAGTCTAACTTGGCTGTTTTTTCTCTTCCTTGAAGTAAGATATTTGTTCATCTACCTAATTTTTATTAAATTTTCTAATTTCATTCTTAATTTTTCAAGTACAACATAATTGGGCTTTTCAGTATCATTGTTGCTGTGAACTTTCTTAATTATACTGCAGTGAATGTCCATGATTTTCATAACTAATTTCTTTCTCACCTTTCACCTTCTGGTTTATTTCTTTTCCATATAGTTTATCAGTGAAAGCTAGCATATTATTTTAAAATAATTCTGTATTTTACTTAGTCTCTATTTGTTTTTCATTATAATAAAGACTGTAAATTTTTATTTGAAATACCAGACAAATGCTAAATTCTGACCAGTACAAAGAACATCATTCCATTTTTACAGTCAGGCATTTACTTTGGCAAAAAACTAATTGGAATGTGGATGGAAGAGTCATTCTCATATTGAATTAATGAAGTTAGGGCAACAGTTATAAGTTTGCTTTAGTACTACTAGGTTATTTTTCTTTGTGTTATCTGTATCTCATAGAGTATATTTGCAGATCTTAAAAACTGATGCTCCTGTATTCTTTTTTTTTTTTTTTATACGCTCCTGTATTCTTATTCTGAGTTATACACTTTGCAAATTATTTTTCTGAAAAAGAATGCTCCCCACCATTTCTCACTATAAGCTTCATTAAGTGGGGTGGCCACTGCAGCAAACCATTTGCTTGAGGTCATATAGCTTGTGGTAGTCTCAGGACTTCTGGGTCTGGATTTCATAGTTTTCCAGATGCCATCTAGACGACTGGTTGTCTTTACCCGTGGTACAAGGGGGAAGAGAAAAAGGAAAGCTCCTCCCGTTAGAGAGCTTTTCCTACAGGAAGAGGAATTGAGGCTTCATTGATCTCCCTCCCGGATACTCCCATAGCACTTGGTGTGGACATGATTTGGACATATCTCACGTCTGCCTTATAGTGTGGTAATTTAGGTGCATATCTCTTCTGCCCTCTAAAATTGTAAAGTCTGTGTGAAGGAGCACCTACCTGGGCCCGTCATAGACTCTTACGAGCACAGTACATTTTAGTTGAGTTGAATGGTGCCAGTTGAGGGAGAATTTCTCATTTTTTAAAAAGAAAAAGTATAGCAGCTTCATTCAATATAAGATTTAACCCTTCCCTGATGTCTCTGCTGGTGGGCTGCATTTATCAGTAACAGTGATGGTTTTGACCTTCTGAAAGTTTACCATTTATACCCTTTTATATTAGCTGGGATGGAAAAGCATGAACTGGGAAACATGTTCCAGCTCTACCTTTCAATGGCTATAGGACCTTAGCAAGCCACTTCTTTATTTCATCTTACGCAGCTGAGATTAGTATTCTAGCATTTCTAGTTATTTTGTAGTGAATTTTTAAGCCAGTGAAAATAATTGCTTTAAAATATGGCTGGGCATGGCTCAGCGGTTGATCATTGACCTAGGATCCAGGCAATCAGGGTTCAATTCCCGGTCAGGGCACATGCCCGGGTTGTGGGCTCGATCAATGACTCTTATCATTGATGTTTCTATCTCTCTCTCTCCTTCTCCTTTCCTCTCTCTGAAATCAATAAAGATATACTTAAAAATAAAAATAAAATAAAAAATACATATCATTTTATGAGTTGTTTTATACTTATAATAGTATAAATCATTTTTTGGTAACATAATATCCATAGCATAGTGGTGTGTGTTTTTTAAATAGCTAATTTTTCCTCATTATAAAAGGAGCATATACCCACTGAAGAAAATCTGATACTATACGGTTTTAATACATGGTGTGTTTGAAATGACGGGATCAAGAAGGGTATTATTTTGTTTTTGCTACATGGAAAATTGCTTTTTTTTCTAAACAAAATTAAAATCTAAAATCCTAACAGGCTTCAGTACAGACCTGAGCTTGTGAAGGTTTCAGATCACACTTTGTTCACTGGTATAGCTTCTCAAGGTGGGTAGTGTGAGGGGAAGAAAAAAAAATGTCTTTGAAATTCTGAAACTTTTTACATTGAAGTAATAAATACTTTACTTTAATTAATTCTCTTAGTTCATTTATTATTTTCACTGCTTTTTAGCATACATTTCCCCCAATAAAAAATCTTATTCTCTGACCGTTTGGACACTAATGTAGAAGTTTGTAGAGGAAAATAGTTTCATCACTGAAGCGTTTTCTCTCATCTGGTAAACCCTAGACTACAGCTTCCTCAATGGTAAAAAACCCTAAGCCATTTCGGCACTGAAATCTTAACATTTTAGAAAACCTGGGACCTTCTTATTGCTTCATACTGCTTCATGTGCTTCCTCTGTGTATACTTGGTAGAGGGTATGCTCCTGAGAACAGCACAGGTCTCTTCCTTTGGCTCTCTCTTGTTCCTGGTATCTCCCAAACACTGGGGGAGTGGGGGTAACTCAGATTCATCAGCACTGAATATGAAAGTAGAATTATTTATTTTTTCAGCCACTAATTATGGAGCCCAAAATTATTGAGCCACTAATTACCATTCTGAGTGAGAATGGCAATGGGGATACTCTGGTGAGTGAGAGCTGACCTCGTGGGGAGTGCGGATGTCGGGAACAGGATGCTGAGGCTTGCCAGCAGCTACAGTGGGGACGTGTGGGTGCTGTGAAAGCACCACGGAGGCCACACACCGTGCTCCTGGCGTCTGGGAACAGCCTCTGGAAGCAAGAGGGCGCTGAGAGTGGAAAGAGAGTAAGGGCTGGCCAGGTGCAGCTGGGGAGTCAGAGGTGAAGGGGATTTCAGACAATAGGGACAGAAGAATGGGCCCTTTAAAGAACTCAGCTTAGGATGGATGGACCATAGTACAGGAGTGGGAGAAAAGAAATAAGGCCAGAAATTTCAAGTAGGGCCTTGGCCACATAAAAAGATGTTTGTACTCTGTCCTGGGAGTTCGTGGAGCAACTGAAGAGTTTAAGCTATAGTGTATCTGAATGAGTCACTTAATGAGATACAGTTTCTGGGAAGATCCATTAGGTCACATTGTGGAGAATGAATTGGCCAGGGGCAGAGATCAGACTCAAGACTGAAAGGCTAGTTAGGAGACCACGTGATCCAGGCAAAAGGCAGTTGTAATCTGAGCTAGTGTACTGAGATTGGGGAAGGAGACTAGTGGTCAAATTTGAGAAGCAGATGAGACAGGATTTAGTAATTGATTGGCTATGGGTGTGGCAGGTGAGAGGAGGGAGGAATCAAAGGTGTGATCCACCTTTTGACTTGGCCAGTTAACTGTGCTGTTGGAGGTGCATTTACTAAAATTAAATCATATTGGAGTGTGAGAGGTTGGAAGAGAAGTGAGAGCGAGGGAAGATGTGGAGTTCAGTTTTAGAAATGTTGATTTGAGGTCTCTAAGGAATATCCGTAAAGAAATAGTTAAGGCCCTAGCCAGT